TGGACAGATATAATTTAAACTGTAATTCATGATTCTAAAGGCTCAAAACGACAAGGAAGTTCAGTCACCCATCAAATCCAATCAATATCACAATCTCCAACCTGTTACTGCAGTTACGTGAACAGAGAATGTAATGGATAGGCCAGGTAGGCCAGCTACGTGTGTCTTTCGTTTCATGTCAACGCTGATGAATAAGGTCAGTAAGAAACGATAAAGTAAGCAGTCTCTGTGGTTAAAATTACCAATGCTTTCAAAGGATAATCCCTGCTACTTGTGGTTAGTGCATCAGTCTATTAGAGTTTTTTAATAAGGGAATGTTTTTGACTTTATTTGGTAGGTATACTTTTTTTATCTCAGTTATGACGTGATGTTGAATTGTGCATGCCAAACAGCTAAATATGCAACACATGACATAGAATTTGCAGGAACATATAAAAATGTTCAAGAAGATTCGATTTAGATAAATTTCTTTGACTAGTAGCTTTTAATCTCTAGCGCTTATCTTGCCAAAATAAACAGTTTAATTCAAATTTAAACTGTCATTCAAGTCACCACTAGCAAGTTTTGTTTTAATATACCAAATTAAATCTACATAATTTATACGCCAGAAAAGTCGTATCCGGTTTTGTAAGCTTCTGCAACAATTATTTACCAAAAATCTTGTTCATTTATCATACTACTCACAATTTTTCATTAGATATAACGTAATGAGGTTAGTATATTTACGTGACTCTATAGCGAGGTTTGAACAGGTTGATTTGTCATGGTGACCTCATTGAGGCATAACTACTACGAATACTTATTTTTCAAAGTCTTTCCATGTCAAGGAAGTTTCTTTGAAGTAGGTAAGGCGGGAAACAGATTCTGCCTAATGCGTACATTTTCAGTATCATGGGGATTTAAAGAGAAAATATTATTGCCAATGCTTGAATGTGGCATCGGTAAACTGTGTCAGATGTTGAACGATCCCCGAAGAGATATTTCCCTTATCTAAGAAGACATTCGAATAGCACTGCTTGTGGAAAATAAGCATCACAGTCTTCCGAACTATTTCTGTTGCTTGTCCTTCATGAATTAAAGGAAGTGATCAGAAATAGGCATTCAAAAGTGCGCTGAGAGAATCAAGTGGGTACAATTTACACTTCGCTAACTAGCAAGATTGATAATACTTTTCTGGGATAACGTATTCCCTAAATTTTGACAACACCACTGTTAATAATTTTGCACAAAAATACAATCTCTTTCTCTTTGACTACCGAACTCTCTTCATTAATTCGATCTATTATCAAGCAATGATTTCCACATTCATCTGGATAAAATTCTTATTCTCTTATTTTGCTTGACCCAGTGAACCCACTAAACAGCATCGTTGATCTTCAAAATTGCGTTGTTGAATAAATATTGAAGTTTTCGAGGTCACAACCCAATACCGGACAGCATAAAAGCATCCATTTTCAAAAAGCTTTCGCTCATTTTTACAAATATATATGGTGTTCTTAAAACACTCTTACAGGAGCAAAGTATCAATATTCCCTTATTTTTCTTCTAATAAAGTTGATGAATCAAGAGATTTTAACTTGATTGTGCTTGAGGACAAGAAGGCTGGTTGTTTTTATCTTGCAAGGCTAAGAACAGAAAAAAACATCGGTTCAGTTTTAGTTGGAAGTCGACTACGCAGTGTTTGAAAAAGCCTTAATAAACCCCAGTCTATTTTTAATCACTATATATGTTTAGGCAGAGATTTATAGCAACAGTAGCTGATACATACTGGTGAAGCCATGCGAGCTGTTCAGTCTTTATGAGTGATATTTAATAATCTTCATTCAAAGGTGTGAAGAACCTAGTGCATCTCTGGATGCTTTTTAACTAACCAACGTACGAAGACCATTAGTGAGGAACGAATTCATCTCAAATGCAAAATATTAAACAAATATCTCAGTGAAGATGAACGATAATCAGGAAGTGTTGATGATAGGTGACAGATATTTAGACTTAGTGTGAAATTGTTGTAGATAATACTCGGAATTAACAAGTTTGTTGGTCACTTCATGTTATTAGCTTGAAAAATAAGTCACTGAGATTAGATAGCCAACATCCATAATTCAGCCAAAAATACTACGTTGAGTTTGACCCAAATTAGGCAGTAATAACACCTAAGTGTGTAGGAAAATGCTAAACGAGTTTAGATACAAGGTGGTGTTCAGTTCCTTTGAGGTTGTAAATGCACTAGGTTGATGAGTGTCAGTGAGTACAAAACCAAGATCTAGGGTTTTCTTAAGATCATTTTTGACCACCCAACATCCATCAAGGCGCATCCAATGGTGGCTATTCTAGCCTGGTGGCTACAAATGATCCATCGAAGGCGATTAGCACTTAGACGAGATGACATGGCACCCCATGGTATCTACTGTCCAGTCAGTTTGCCTTGTGATTATTATCATACTTGTAAAGATAATGACACTTCTTAAGTGTCAATAAAATATCTATGTCATTTTAAAATTTAGATTTATTTGCATTCTATTTTGTGGCTATACTCCCATGCTAATACCATTTTCACAGCGATCGTCTCATGTAACCTATTACCATAATTAATGGTATTATTCATACTAATTTCTGGCTTAATACATCGCGTCAGTTGTCACAAACCAATTACATTTACCCCTTTGCCTACTCTATTATCACTTTAGCATAATGGCTTCCCTTTCTCTTCTTTGTTTGTACTGCGTGATGCACAGCTTGTTACAACTTTCATTTATACTACTTTTTTGCCCTTGGTAATACTACATCCACCTTTTTTATCGCTGGCAACAACTTACTTCAAGAAAGTATCATACTATTCTCTTGTCGTTATTGGATGTACTTTCAGTGGTTTGATAAACACTCAAGTGCCTCAATATTCTATGTCTATGGTTTAATTTCTTCATTCTGACTTAGTATTATAGTACCGTATTCAATACAGAAATTGTGTTTCAAGCGGGTGTTTTGTCCTGGTAAGGTAGTTCTCATTAGTCCACCCCCATACCCCACCAGGGACCCAACCAAGGATCATCATGCCTCGCTGGGACCACATTACGATCCCACTACTGGATAGAGACCCTATGGTCCATATTTTCCCACTTTGGTGTATTCACGATTTAGGGTGACGATCAACCAGTGTCATCCATGAGTATTTATCCTTACACTCGACCTAGATAAGCCCACAGGTAAGGGCTTCTCATTGCAACTTCGGGTAACCCATCTCGAAGCATATCACTAATGTCCACTGGATATTGACTCAGTGTGCAGGTTTGTACCAACGTATTGGTTTCAAGACAGTGTTCACCATGGTATGACATTAGTTAAAGCACCACTGAAAAGCAGGGGGTACGGGACATCGGTTTCATGTTAGTACAGAATGATCAGTGTGCACTGTTGTGGAGTCTTATAGTAAAATAAATCAGTTTTCCAGCGTTTTGGGTTTTCAGAGGTTTTCTAGTTATCTTAAAACAGACAGAACTCCACAGACCTCCAATCTGAAACACTGCAATTTATTTCGGTATTTCATGCATGACTCAAAATTTTTAGTTTTGGTTTACTGGTAAGGCGTCACTCGTCACTCTGCTATTTACTGAAGCACTGAAACAAGAAGAAGGTCAGTTGGAATACTTTAGTGCCCGACCTACTAAAGTAAGTGACTTTAATCATAATGTAACCGATAAAAAGAAATTAGATTGATTGAATGTATCTAAAAACGTTATGGTTTTTAATCTTCCTCCAGCTAAATTAATGTTATGAACATTTATTCTCGATTAACAGGTAAGATTTTGGATGCAGCCAAACATGTGCTGATGAATGCTTATTTCATTTCACATCATGAGATACTAACACATGAATACGGTTTATTGAAGATTTCCTATGAACTTAAAAAGGGACTAAAACTTGCTGATCGGAACGTCTTACAGTATTCATTGCCTGTGAACTTATCATATTTTCAGTAGTATTTATTCATTCTAACACTTAAACATAAATGTTTATGAATGTTGATAATCGCAGTTTACAATAGCTGTTACTGTTCGGTAATGATATTCAGTGTTTCTGTTAAGAACTATGTTATGAGTAGACAGTGTTGTTAAGCTTGTATATGTTAATGTGACCAAGAGTCTTCTAAAAGCTGTGAATGATAACCTAAAAATATTTACCAATTGTTTCTCTTTTATCAGAAGTAAAATTATGTTTCAAAACTGCATTATCAGGCCATTTGTTTGAAAAGCAGCGGGTCATATGGTTTTACCGGGTCGACCAACCCACCAAATTGGAGAATCAGATGACACAAATATATTTAATAATGATAATGACTTTGTGTCCGACGTTTTCTATCCAATGCCATCTACACCTCTGGTAAGACATCTTCATCCTAGCAAATGGCATGTATAATATCTCAGCCTGCAGTAATTTAAGATACAGAGATTGGAGTGGTAAATTTACCTGATATTTGACAGCCACTATTTCATCAAACTTTTCTCTGAAAGGATATTTACATTTTGTTTGAGTTATCCATTATACAGAACTGTTTCAGTGTTGAATTATAGTAATCAATAAAACTTTGAGACGACATCATTTGGGCTGATTAAGAAGTTTTACACATGGAGAGTTGCAATCTACTCCAATATCAGCTGTTAAACAACGAAGTGGATTGACAAAACCATTGTGATAGCTTAATCATTCAAACACGTAATTCGCTCAGTAACTGTTCATCTGAGTCATGTAATGAAATATCACTATCTCTTTAGTATCTATAGGATAAGAAAAAGAATGCTCACTCATTACGAGGTAAGCACTACGGTACATGCATCCTTTGTGTTCTTTTCAAACTCGAATAATGTCTACTTGAGAAGTTTCCCTAATACTGCTTGATAGAGTTATTCATTTCATCACTTACTTTTCGCTTGATGGCTAAGAGACCCATCAGCTTGAATCAGAGCACTAGTTCAGACAAAAAGACAAAAAGAAGGCCATATTTTGAAGGAACTATTAAATAATCATTACTACTTATCACAAATAAGTAGGTTAATAAACATTTTGATATATAGGTAATATATTCACACAATTTAAAATGGCCTAAATGGTTATGATTTGAGCGTTGAAGGTGCTTCTCCTTAAGTTGTCACCTTCACAAAAATCATAACAGTTGCGAATGAGCGTAGAATATAATGAAAATTAGGGTTGTTTGACTGCCTCCATACCTTTTTTTTTCAAAACCAGCATCTTTTTATCCTCATCATCGAATGAATGATATAAAATAATCGACGAAATGTTCTACTAAACTGTCTGGTGTGTTAAAATACAAACCAATACCACATAGTTACACATTTTCATGGTTACGCATTTTTATAATGTTGCGATAGAAAGCAAAACAAATATCATCTGACTATTATGAGGAAGCAGGATAGTGGATATAAAAACTGAAGGACATGCAAAATTGGTCCTTTTCTTTGAAATCGAATCTGATACAAAGAATATTTCTTCACCCTTCTACCTCAGCCGCTTTCATGTTCTTCAATCTTTGAAGCATAATAACCGAAAAAGGATGGAAAAAGATAGAAATACAAACGAAAGGGAACGAAAGGCTTTCTTTCAGTAAATATTGTCATAATAAAGACGAAAATTTAAAACATAGACAATTTAAGAATAAGGAGACAAAGGTTACTGTTTGAAAAAATACAGTGCGTATAAACAAGTTGTTAAAATATTTTTTACAGCACCAACAGTAATCACATTTTGACATTGGAGTCGTTGAATTCCTGAGAAATCTGAATTTCTTACAAACGGACAAAGAAATATGCAACCTGTTGTTAACGAAAAATGTGATAAAAATGCTCAACTAAGAGTTTTGTCACAAATACTAACCTAGCAGAATCAAATGTAGGCGCAAACTGGCGAATAAAGGTTTATAACTTAGAACTGGGCACGTATTTTCTTTTCTTACTCCTGAATAGTAAATAAGGTGAAGGTAACAAGTTTAAAAGATTTCTTAGAAACAAACGCAGAAAATTTATCAAATCAAAAAACAATCTTATACTGAAAGTTTGTGCATAAGTGAAAATTAGATTTTGACGATGCTTTACACGCCTAGATTCACTATAGCACGACTCCATAACCGTTTGTTGGTTAGGTGAACAGATGTTGAGGCTGACATTGTAGACTGGTTTTTTGCTGGTTGACAATGTATTGAATGCAGTATTAATGAAAGGATCCATGTGATGATTAGGATCCCGAGGATAATGATAATGATGGCCAATGGATTGACAATCAAATGAAGAAAGAAATATTGAAGACGAAGAGGTTAGAGATGCTTCTGATAGATCACATGCTTTATCATTGTTATGATTATCATATTAAATCCAGGCCATAAACAATACAAAGAGCCAAAACGTCAATCGATTTTCAAACAGGTCCATGCACAAATGCAAAGGAAAAGAGAAGAAAATATCAGCAAAACAGTATGACGGCGAAACATGCAAATTTGTATGCTAAAAAGACTGCTTTTTAATATAGACATTCTCATTGCAAACAGAATGAAGTCAGTGTTTTGTTGGTCTTTTAACGTATGTGATGCTGAGATTTTCAACACACCTTGATTGTATTAAATCGATGGAACAAAACAGCTGTAATCATACTTGAACTAAAAAACTGCTACAGTTAACCCTGGGAAGACTAATATCTTACATAATATACTCTCGTTATTCACTAAGACGTCACTTAGAATTGAAATTATGGCATAGAATATATTGCAGTATAGTAGTGAATTGATTGTGATACTAAAATATTTTGTTTAAAGAAACTGTATCATTTTTGGTCAGACATACTACATTATATCAAAAGTAGAAGGAAAAAATATCATTACTACTGGCACCATCTTATAAAGCGGATAGTCTAGATAAGTGTAGGGTAAAACATGGTTATGTTAACTAGCTTTCAGAAGTCATCAGTAATCCAATACAGTTGTTGCAAAAATTTAAAAGGTCTTTAAACTGCCTGGTTAGACCGCTTGACTGATAGGTATATGCAAAATGTACTCATCACATTGGACCTGAGAGTAACATCGATGACCATTTGAGTGATTATTTCATAGGGATGATTTACCCTTGCAAATGGCTAGGCATGACCTAAATAGGTCAATAGTAAGGTTACATTTCTGAGTGCAGCGCTGATTGATCATTTTTCACATTTTCGAAGAGAAATAAAATTTTTCTCAACACTTATAAGTACTAACAGGCGTTAGACCTTTTTCGTGGGTTTTCCGCTCATTGATTTCTAGTGGTTAACAGATGTAATTCTTCCAATACTGTACAAATAGCAGTCTGATAGCAAGAGATTTAAACAAAATGTAAGTATTTCAGTCTGTTTTTTATTTATCTAGAATTTCCACTGTGAATATGACTTGATTTATTGAAATGAATCGCCAAGAAACTTCATTATGAAGCTGACTAGTTAGGTGAATCGACTAAAACAAGCACTCACTCATATAAGAGTAAAACTTGTGCACTGTGGTATAATGTAATACCATTTTTATTGATTTATTAGATTTAACACACAGTGTAACAGTATTGTTTACTGGATTACGTTTTGGACATAATTTATGGTCCATAGTCGTATCAAGATAACTACACAACTTTGAGATATCCTTTATATAGTCCTAATTTTCTCGTCTCTTTGTGAGATAGGCAGTAAGATTTTCCATATATCCGGAACATGTGCTGAGTCATTTCTGTTACATGTGTTAGGTGTGAAGTGGCTTAGTAACAGGGTCAAAAAACTTACTAGTAAAACAGCAGATTCAAAAGAAGAAACCAGATAGATTAAAGACACCTTAATCACCAACAATTACCCTTCCAAATTAATTGATAAGCTCCTCAGGAATGGTAAGAAAGATATCAGTAACACAGTTATTAATAGTAGTAATAACAGCAACAATAATAGTGATAATGATGTCGATAATGATGTTAATAATAGTGGCCGCAATACTGTGGATAGAGAATTCAAATCCTCCACAGTATCACCATACAAAGAAGGCACCTCAGAAACACTACGTAGAATTCTCAATAAGGCTGGGATTAGAGAGGCATTTAAACCTACAAACTCACTTCGAAATAAGCTTTGCAGGTCAAATACATAGGTCAAAGTAGTCGACCTGGGTCGATCAATTAGGCTATCGGAACACAAAAACTTAGCTAGGTCGAGATTGGTAGATCCTAGTAAGGTAAGGAATTTAGAACAAAGCTCAGTCATAGCTATGCATGTAATTACACACAACCACACAATAGGATGGGACAGGGTGAAAATTCTCAATACTAATATAACAGGGTGGAGGGAGAGATTGATAACTGAATCTTTGTTTATCGAATCAACATCTAACACATACAACAGGAATGACTCAGCACATGTTCCGGATATATGGAAAATCTTACTGCCTATCTCACAAAGAGACGAGAAAATTAGGACTATATAAAGGATATCTCAAAGTTGTGTAGTTATCTTGATACGACTATGGACCATAACTGATGTCCAAAACGTAACTCAGTAAACATTAGTGTTACACTGTGTGTTAAATCTAATAAATCAATAAAAATGGAAGCACCCACTCAGTTTTCCTTATGTACACTTTTTAAAAGTAGTAATTCATAATCTAGCCCCCCCCCCTTATGGTTCATTAAAAGTTTATGATTGTGTAAGAGAAATGCTTCATCGTGGTCCCTTTGATATACTTTGACTTTGTGGTCCTGCTCTTAAGGCTGATAGTTTAATGAAACTAAGCAAGTGAAAAGTTTTGAGCACTCAGCTTTTCATAATTCAGAGATACACATTTTCCAACCTTGATAAATCTATGATGAGACATTTTTATCATCCGATAAGAGTAATGCTTAGACTTAGCTCACTGCCTGATGTCTAAGGCGGTTATTCAATTAGTTCCTAGTTGTGATAAAAAACTACTTCAAGATGGATCAAGTTTTTACGATCAAGCCAACCAAATCAGAAAGGGATTTTTTTTAAAAGAGATGAACACAAAGTCTGTGCTATAATTTACACTAATAAACCCTAGTTGGACTAGTAAATCTCGTGAACGCTAATAAAGTTTTATTTTTATTGCTCAACAGATATATTTTACTGCACTGAGACAACATAAATAAAACATTTGAAAAAGATAGAAAACACATCTAATTTGACTGAAATGAAAGTAATGAAGGCGACACAGACACACATTTATGTTTAAAACATCAAAATTTCATTAAAATTTATAGCAGTAAAATAAGTGATAAATCGAAATTTTCTTTTGATCAATATAAATTCATGTTCTGCTAGATTTAACCGATTAGATCGTTACAGCGAAAATCACTCAAGTACAAATACAATTTTCAGAAATTTCAAACTGTAATAATCGATCTACGAAAATCCACACGTCTCACACCTGGTGATAAATTATTCCTTCACTCTTGATCTCACAAGGTGTTTACTGTAGATCAAGTTTTTATCAAGCAATAAGATAAAAGTTTCCTTTCTAATTCGTAAGGTGTGATATCAGTGAAAGCATTTATCTAGTCTGGAGGTTCCCTCCTTCACACCTGGTTAACTCCTAAAACACTGTGACATCGGCAATTACAACTGAAGACAGGTAAACACACATGTTCTGAGGTTTGTAATAGGAGCATACTTTATGGAATTGATGAAGGAAATCTACAGAATACTTTAGTCGTAGACGAAATTTCAGTGAGAGCCATTATATTATTTACCGTATTACTATTCTTTGTAATGTCTTAAATTCTTCTATATATCATTCCATCAAACTAAAGTGTACCAGAGGTAGTATTCCTGTTAAACTCATTTAATATGGTGTAATTATTAACAAATATGATTCTTGACTAGTCAAATGCACACTGTTTTTTGCAGGGAACACCATCAACCAGTCCCACAGCTACATAAATATCTGAGATGAAAATCCAAAGATTGTGTAGACTATATGTCACATTTATATGGTTGTACATCTTTTACACTATGGTAGATTATAATTCAAGTTTGGTGTCGTACAGCAAGAAAGCACTATTTTTTAATGTTATCATTGATAAGTGATGCCGTAAACATTATCCAGTGAATAGTACTGCTTCACTCTGTGATACATCTAATAAACAGAGTGAAATGATATATACCTAGTAGTTCAGGGGATATTACATCTTGAACAGCGTCAAGCACATCATCATTATCAATATGCCTTGAAGAAACACTTCGTGGCCGATACATGTTATGCTTTTACTATAACTTCGGCGACTTATACTTCTATGTCTTTATTATAAGCATAATCTTTGATTGGTATTTAACAATTTAAAGTATATCAAGTTATGCATTAACTTAGTGAAAAACCAGTTTCTCTTCAGCGTTTGGTAACCAAAGGAGATTTCTGCAATTTGGTAGATAGATGTCGACAATATTTAGAAGGTTATGCATTTTATACATTACGCACTTTGTATTTAAGCAGTATATAAATGTAGGTAATTAGCTGAATAACTACTTCATTGGAAGATATACCACTAATCAAGTACATCTTACTTCCAGTCTTATTTTCCCCAGGGGATTCACTTTACTACTAAATAAGGTGCATACTCACTACACTGATGCTTTTTTGCTTAGAAGACTACTTTGATTAAAGGATATGCACAAAACAATATACATCGCATTTCACTAAATATAAACCGAGAATATTGGAGATACTGAAGTACGCACGAACAGCACAGTACTCATTATATTAGTGTTGTGGTCCATATTTGCATATAATGACTCATAATACACCAAAACAAACTACACAGCAACAAATCAAGACTATAAGTACCCTAGTCAGATAAAAAATAGACAGTGATATTGCTGAAAAAACCTAACCACATTACAACCGTGGTATATTCACTTGTTGCAGCATGTGACAATATCCTCTGGATTGCTCAGAGAGGCCTCAAAATCCCTGAAAAGCCATCATAGGCAATCGTGACATGTTAAATGTTAGGGAAAAACCTCGTGATCATACAAGTGAGACTCGGATTGGTTAAAGGGCTATCTTGAAAAGCGTAGAACTTTCCAAAGCTATCAACAAACGCATATAAACGGTGAATTTTCGTACATATTCGACTGGACAATAAACCTTTAGCCTTTGTTTGCATTTTGTTCCATTACTGTTATTAAATTTGAAGATAACGTGTTTTCAGTCGTAAAATATCACAGAATAAACAGTACAAGCTATCTCGTTGAAATCGAGGAAAAAAATTGATGAAATATAATATCTACAGCGTACCTGTTATCTTTGATGTCCAAATGGGTATCGTCAGTACTTATAAATTAGGTATTGAAATAAAAGCATACAGAAATCGCTAGCAAAAGCATTTCCATACTCCAACTTTAATTTGAAGCATATGATAGCAGTTCAAAACATATACATTATGCAGCATTAGATTTCAAACAGGAAATAGAAAAGTGATGTAGAATATCGTTTTACTTTTGGAATACTAGAAAGTGGAAATATGTGCGATCCTCACTGTATGTGTGAACGTTTTGGACACTGATAGATTAATCAGCGGATAATTCGAATAAATGGAGAGAATTAAAGGTGGTTGTGTTGTTTGAAATATACCCAAAATTATAAACCAATTATTCACTCACACTTATTGTAAATTAATGTTTGAACTACTCGTGAGTAGTTAGAGTGACTAGAGATGAAAGTTTTGAGAAGAATCAATCGTTCTTATGTTCTTAAATCTACCAAAGTTAAAAGTATGATATTATGTGTATACACGGCCAAGGAAAAATTTATATGAGTATTTGTGAGCACCATATTATTGCGTCACTCGCTTAGTTGGCTACATTGCAAACCTGGCATCTATTCTGGTAGTAAGCAACGGAAGCTACAAACGTCTCGTGCACCTTATGAGAAGTACTTTAAAAATAGACGAAATAATAAAAAGCAGGTAAATGTGCATGTGTATGCTACAGCATTAGAGTTTTAAGTTGCATAACAATTTAAGCTACTTTATAAATCCAAGCACAAATAAGTAAATGATAGAGATGTTCAACTGATGAAACTATTCAAGAGTTAATGAGACAATCGTAGTGCTTTGTATTTGGATAGTTGACAAGCAGTCAAAATGTATCTGCAAATGATTTTCTTGGGTTCAATTTAAATACGGTGTTTTTTTCCAGATGAAACTATTTCAGGTGGGCAAACTTCACAGTAAATAAGTTACTTAACAGTTATCTGCCATACCTAATATTAGGATTTTCCATTTATTCCTATGGAGTGGAAATAAGAACATTAGTTTTTCAAGACAACTTTACTACTTTGTTTTTAACACTGAGATGCCAGATCGATGCTTCCTTAAACGGCATAATCAACGGAGATTATTTTAAGTTTCACATCTCTCTAATATGCTCTTTTACTTGTTTAATAAATACTTAGAGTGAACTATGACGAAATAGGACATCAGAGAAGTTTCAAGTGTCAGATAGTATTATAAACACAGAAGAAGAATAAATACGTAAACAAAAAGAAGATATATCCTGCAACCAGAAGATAGTGAATATTATGTTGACCATGAGAGATGAACTGAATTTAACATCTTATAAAATCCATGCTGATTAGTAAAGATGCATGCAGACACAGAAAAAATTTCAATTTTTGTTCAAAACTAAATGCGTTGCTGTTCCTAAGACTATTTAAAATCCACAAGTCACAAAACTATGCCATGATCCTCGAAACCATAACCCTAACATGTATTGAATGTGTGATGATATATGGCGATTTACCTTAACTGGTAAGCTTCTCGAAATTATCAAAGAACAGTGTTCATTATTTGTGCTGGCCAATTCTAACCTAGTAATCATCAGTGAACGTTAACGGCAACCACATCATATTGTTCCTTGACTGCCATTAGAAAATGCTTGGACATAGAAGTATCTCTTTATCAGAAGTTATTCAGTTAGTAATGGTTTGAAAGACTTATATTAATACTTGGTGATGACTGAAGGCAAAATGAAAATTCGGACCGCTGCCGGATTCCAACCTGCAAACATCGGGTTTCTGACCTGGTACTCTACCAACTGAACCACAAGACGCAGCGACCTCTGGTTCGAGTCCGGCTACAGTTCAGTAAATCAATAGAATTATTTGAAGTCATTCCAGCGCACAACAGAGAATAAAATGATTAAGTGCTAGTTACTCTGAGAGTATCCCTCCCGAAACGTAAAAGTCTCCAGTGTTTTCAGAGACACTATATTTTTCTGAGTATACATGAGATATGGTCAGTTCAGAATGGATTCTTAGTAGTTCATAAACTTGACTTGATAACATACATTTATGTCTTTCTACGCTATACTTCCACCTAGTGAAACATTAGCCATCATACAGAAAATGTGCTATTATGTTACTACACAGTTTACTAGACCGTATTCACTCAACACATGCAGTATCATTCTCCTATATTTCTCCTGTATGTGGCATTCAGTAATACTTTTATACATAAATATTATATGAAGACTACATCAGAACTTACACAAATCACTAGATGCATACTCACGCTTGTAATTGTAATTATAGCTGTATTCTGAAGGATTTATCACCATATTTTGTTGTCTTGACATTGATTTCATTTCTATTCGAATTGTAGAAATGTGTGAATTTACAACTTTTGGAATGATTTTATCCAATCTTGGTAAAATTTCAGTAGTATAATGAGATATTTTCATCGGTGCTTTCGTTTCATACTGATGCTTATTTGAAACATCTCCTATGGATTGTTGTTTTCTGATTAAAAAATCCATATGTGTTTCACTGTCACCTTTTGGACTAATATCATTTTTACTACTATTGAAAGTGTTATCAGTATCTAAAGCTTTAATAACAGTAGAAATGGGTATAGCACAGTCATGACCCAACAGACTATTGTAATTTAAGTCGTTTATTACACAGAATGGTGGGAAGAATTTCATATACTTTAAAATAGACAGTCCGTTTAATGTACATACGTCATGAATACTTTTCAGGCTAATGTCATCAACATTGTTAATTCTAAAGTTGGTAGTTGGATTAGACAAATGTTTAGTTAACAGACTAACAGATAGTGGGATACATGATAAGTATGCTGACGATATTCTAGATGATTCATTAGATTTATCATCATAACCTATATGCAAGTTATAATCATAATCAAAACAATAATCACCACAGTTAATTGAACCAATTCTAGTTTTTGTTGTTATTGTAGACAAAAATTCATGTAGACTAAAGTGTCCATTAATTAACTTTTTAGATAAATTTAGAGTGTATCGATTAAATGATTCATTGTCTGAAGAAGAATACAAGACTGAGATAATGTTAGATATTCTGTTTGATAGTAAAGTTGATGACGAATATTGCATTTTGACAGAAATTGCATTGTCTTTGTTAATACTCCGCTGATTTTTAACAAGTGGTCCTGATAATATACTGACAACATTGGTCTTAGTAACTGAACTCAAATATGGGATAATGTGTACAGGAGATTCTAGTGCAAAACAAGGCGCAGAAATTAAAGGAAGTACTTCAATCATTTCAACCAATGGATCGGTAGAGAATAACTCCAATGTATAATTTGGTTTACATGCATTAGTTGAAGGTTGTGAAATTATATCATTTTTTAATTTAGGATGTGTATCAATGTTTTCTTTATCTGAGTTTGTTTGATTCAATTTAATCCAAGGATGACTGAGACATTCTCTTGCAGACATACGTCGTCTGGAAATAAATAAACCAATAAATAATAAGAGGATAAAAATAAATTTGAATGAAATCTCATTATATTTAGAAAATAAAACACAATTCTTCTGAAAGTTTGGCTACTTGATCCACAGCTTCCTCATCACACTAAAGCACTTAGGAAACTTCATTGATTTTTAAAGAGGTTCTTTTCACTTGTAGGGAAATACTGTTAATTCAAAAGAAATGAGTACAAATTTATCAACAGACAGTTTTGCTAACTGTTTTGAAGTATATAATCGACACATGGAAGTCTCTGTTTGGGGTTATGAAACTTATGTCATTAGTGATCTCACTTATACACTCAAATAATCAATAAGTAGCCAGGAACTCTTCATTGTGTAATGTAAAAATTCGTTGAGCACACTTTTCGAAACATCTGTAACTTTGATTTTCGACTTAGTGTATTGAAAAGTTTTACATTTATTTACATATATATGATCTGCGATCTAAAATCAATTATAAACCTCCAAAAACCTCCAGATACAATTGGTGACTAGCTTTGAGACATGGTTCCCTGAGTTACAATGAGAAGTCGTGACGAGTTCAGTCAACCAAGTCAAACACGAGTACAGTTACTCGGCGATGACACTTAGTGTAGGTCGTGCTATATCGTGAACTGACAGAAGTAGGAAATATGGACTACTGGATCCTCACCCAGTGGCTTAATGGTAATGTGCTGGCCAAGGAACCTGAAATTCTTGGGTTCAATCCCTGGTGGAGTCACGGGTACGCACTGCTCAGGAGTTCTATGTTTGGACGAAATGGATGTCTAGTACTCCCGGGTTTTCAACATTCCTCTAACTGATGTCGGTCCAAGATAAATTTCAACCTTAATTAATGTTAATTTACTTGTTTATGGGACATTGTCAAAACTTGACTATCAACATCTGTCACCTTATCGAAAAGACAATGTGAACTGGTCAACCGCTATTTATGAGTATACTATTCTGCCCAAATAATCAGCAACAATAAAACGTTCAGTCAGTTTTATCTTTAAAAAGAAACCAAATCCTTAACGGCAACACAAGCAATTCATCCAAACACTTTTTTCCTTAGTCCTAACTTAAAAACCTTCTCTACATTGGTGTATGATCAGTTCTGTCTTTCAAAGTTAGTCGACATTTTTAGTACACTGTCCCATCTCATTCTCTTCTTTAAAATGATATTCTTCATTTAAAAGATTACCTACTGAACTAGATTCATCACGGCATATTCAATTAATTCTTTCTGTTAAGCAATAACAACTCGTCTATTGCAACAGTATAATTGAACAGGTAGTAAACTGCTTTAGAAATGACTCTAATTTAAACCAATAATGACCTTTAAGTGAGGTTGACAGAGTATCGCTGGTCTTGACGATTACATGACTTGTTCATTTTTGTTCCTTTTTACAACTCTTAAAAAACAATATCTTGTTGTAGTAGTATCCTGCACATGTCAATAAATCAGTTAGAACCTCATTAAAAATAGGTAAGACAACAATGTTTAGTGCATATTGGTGGAGTAATCACTGTCATATATTGTAAGTGATGTTTCTTGTTCCCGTTAAATCAAAATAAAGGTTTATTTGCAGTCTCTATGATGTATTGCACTTAATTTCCTCCTACACACGCCTCATTTAAATATTTAGCTATGGTACCAGGTCCAATAAGAAACCGATCTAAATCAAAACTTTATAACTCTTCTAACTTGAACCATAGAATAGATGACATACACCTAGATGGCAGTGAATAAATGGTTAGTTTTGACGTGGTCTACTTGTAAAGTAATATACCGATTGGCATGGCTCTAGAATCAGTAAGGAAGTAGCTCAATAATGACCATGTGCTTACACCGCGCACTACGGTACCACTACACGAGATCATGATAAGAGAATATCTATGCCTAACTTCCACAATCTTGAGGTTTCATAATAAAATATACAAGTAGAAAGAAATTAAATGGGACCACCTGTATCCCCTATCGTGGGTGACATACTTATGGATAGTTGGGTATGGATAGCTGGCAAAATATTTGTTCACTGCAAATATATGGTTTCAATATATATACGACACTTTCACAGTGTTGAAATCGGAGCACATACTTTTTTACCTCACATTTGTAAATTCAGTAGTCAACACAATCCAGTCCACCTATGAATCAGATAATTGTGTGCTGGAATTGGCGATTATGGATTGCAGATTGAAACAAAAACAAGATGGCAGTTTAGACACTAGTGTCTACCAAAGCATTCACTCTCAAATCGTTTCTCTGACTTCAAATCATATCAACCTGTGTCAGTTAAAGATGGCTTGGTAAAATGTCTAAGCAACAGAACAAAAATATTGCTAATAAAGCGAAAGATGTTGGATAAGAAACCAGACACATTGAGGATACCATACTCACCAAAACTTAACCTCCTAAATAAATTGACAAGTTTCTTAGCAATAGTGAGGAAAATGTGACCGATATCAGTAACACAGGTGTTATTATTTGTGACAATAATGTTTATAACAGCAGTGGCAATACTGTGAAAACAAAATTGAAAATCTCTACAGGATTACCATACAAAAACAGCATCTCAGAGAAATTATGTAGGATTGTCAATCAGGTTGGGATTAGAGTGTCATTCTAATCTACAAACTCACTTCGAAATAAGCTGTGTAGTTTAGGAGATCCAATTAATCCAGTTAGGTAGAATAATCTAGTTAACCCAACCCCTAGTGACGAAAGCTAGGTCGAAGTAGTCGACTACGATGAATTAGGCTATCCGAGCACAAAAACCTAGCTTGGTCAAAGTTGGTAGATCCTAGTAAGGTGAGGAATGTGAAAAACTGCTCGACCATAGCTATGCATGTAATTAATTACACACGACCACTCAATAGGATTTGACAGAGTGAAAATCCTTAAACGTAGCATAGAGGGGTGGAGGGAGAGGTTGATAACCGAATTTTTGTTAATCGAATCAACAGTTAATACATGCAATAAGAATGACTCAGTACGTATTCTAGATAGTTGGAAAATCCTGCTACCCATATCATAGAGAAGGCGAGGAAATTAAGACTAAAGTATGCATCAAAGTTGTGTAATTATTTTGCAATGACTATGGATAGTAAATTGTATCCAAAACGTAATCTAGTAAACTATACTGTTACACTGTACGATAAATCTAATAAATCAATAAAAATGAAATCCCGAGGGACAATGTTAATTGTGGTTCATATTTAGTTCTCTGCTTGTGAGTAATATTATTCGAAATAAAAGTATTAAATATCTTATCAGTATAAAGAGCAATGAGGTAATGTTCTGTTGAGAAATCAGTAAAATTCCAATGGAAAAGCAGAATACTCTCAATAAAATGATATTTCATGACCTAGTTAGCTTTTAAATATGACTCATGTGTATTCCAATGACTTTTGTTTCTTAATTTCTCTACTTATTTTTCTACATACCTCTATGTTAAGCGAATGACTGACCAATAAAAACACTTAAATCCTTTCTATCAGTTAATCTCTTAGTAAACTGATAGTTATCATTGCATTTAGATAATCTGAGCCTGAAGAATTTAACTGTCTGACATAATCTGACATATAAAGCACCGACTGATTATTAAAATGACTTAAAAATTAGGTAGTTCATTTAGTTTTGTCGATAATAGTGTCAGTGATCAATCTACTTATTACTTGAGGATACTTACATAAATACTCAATAAAATTCTATCATGTTTACAAGTATATATATATATATATATATATATATATATATATATATACAAATGAAATTTGAGCAGTTCGTTTAAAAATGGACTCTGACTTATTCTCCGAAATGTTTCAAAACTTCCATTTTGATTTTTTACATACTCACTGGTTATAATAAAATATCAGTACAATAACTCAATCATACTTAGCCCCTATGTTTTCTATAACCTTCGTACTAACTGTGGCATAGACATTTGTAAACTAATATGGTTGTATCTCGTTTGCTAATAAACTGATACACTGAGTACTTGGAATTGAATGCACTGAACTATATTCTATGCAAAAAAAGGATCAATCTTTTTGAAAAGTAAAACAGTTTGTACGGTGTAACTTTTTAACAGTTAGCTAAGATAGAACATTAGAAGTAACTTATTCCTCCCTTATAAAGATGACAACTAGGAGAAATAATACAGATTATAGTAATCATACAGTCCCAACACAAACATTGATCCACAAACACCCACACAAAAGAAATAACCATCAATTAACAATTAAAGCTCATTGTGCTTAGTTTATTGCCACACTACAGAAGAGAAAATAAATCATGGAAGGAAGAAAAGAATGGATGAACTTTAGACACCATAGTGAATTTTTCATTGTGAACAGAAAATTTAACATTCGATAATATCACTTTTAGTTGTTGTTCTATTGTTTTTTTGCATCAATGTTTGACAAAACTGGAAAAAAAAGAAGAATTTTGAAAATTTGTTTTGATTTCATGAAATGTTTTACTATATGATTTATTTCACACTGGCATAACATTTTCTTGTTGATTATCATCATCGGAGGAATTTGAAAGCTATTATCACTAACTACAATACATAAAGAAGAATATGTGAAGAATTTGTTTGTAATTTTGGACAAATGCGTGCAACTTACTTTTCGGACATGTTAATGTAGTGCATAAGCGTAGTATTTGTGGTTATTTTGTACTAGTACCTATAAATGAGCACATCCATTTGAAAAACAATTCAATATGCATCGATTCTTTTGCTGAACAATACAGTTGAACAGAACGAGAAGTACTGAGGCTGATAGCCGAGTGTTGTTGATCTAGGCAATCAACTTTCGACCATCGGTTCGAAAACGAATTTGCTTGCCAATGTTTTGACAGTTAGTAGGTGCTGCAATCCTTCACACAAGAGGTATGACTCACTGCATGAGTACGAACTCACTCACTCATTTCCATTCTACACTCATAGCTGTGATCATAGCCAAAATAAAGTATACTGCATATAC